GAGGCATCCTGCCTATAAGTTTCAATGGATTTCAATGACATTTGAGTAATGGATTAAGGCTACATAGTTATGTGATTGTAGAAAGTGATTTCTAGAATTCACAAAAAGAATAGTTCATAGTTTAATAATAAATAATTTTAAAAATTAAAATATTCTGAACTGTAGATTTTTATAAAGTCTAAACTCTTTATCATTCTTCTTTCCAACACCCCACATCCCTGAAACCTAATAATGTTTTCACTATAGTTTCAACTAAAATAAGATTTTCTTTTTGTCCTCCTAGTGGCCACACATAGAATTAACTTTTCAGTTTTAAAACTGAATGGTAACACAAATGCCTTATACTGTATTTGTGTAACTATTTTACATGTTTCAGACTACCTTCAATTTACATTACAAAGTAATTTTGTCAAATATATAGCACATTATGTTTTTATTAATGTATTCAGATTCCAAAATGTATAGTCAAGGTAAACCAAAATATTTTGGCTTTTATACTTTACCTGTAATGATTAATCAAATATAATGATTAGGAAGGCTTACCTAGATTGAACCTGAAAAGAGATGCTATTGTACTATAAAAATAGTAACTGGTTATCCACAAAGGGTTGGGAAAACTTGGGTATATATCTGTGATTAATGTGATTTATCTTATTGTTGTTCAGTCATTTTAGTCGTGCCCAATTCTTCATGATCCCATTTGGCATTTTCTTGTCAAAGGTACTGGAATGGGTTGCCATTTCCTTCTCCAGCTCATTTTACAGATGAGTCAAACAGGATTAAGTGACTTGGCCAGGGTCACACAGGTAGTGAGTATCTGAGGCTGGATTTGAACTCTGGTTTTCCTGACTCCAGACCTAGCACTCTCTCCATCACACCAACTAGCTGCTTCTCTCATTTATTTTAGTAGAAATATTTGTAGCTTCTACCCAAAGAGTATTCCACTGATATTGCCTTTCTCTCTCATTTCACTATAGGTTCAGAAATATCAGTTATGTTATGGTGTATTTGGGATTCCATCACATTTGTTTTTATGTAGGAACATACAATGATAAGTAATAATTCAAGATATAATAAGGAAATAATAATTTTTTTATGACAATAAAGTTAGTTTGAATTTTAAATGGAGGATTAGACTTGATTGATTTGCATCTATTCTAAGAATCTAGATTTCATATTTCTAGAAGTAGATTCATGGTTTAAAAAATGGCTATGGAATGAGGCTGCATAGTGTGGTGAATAGAGAACTGTATTTGTAATCAAGGAGACTTGAGTTCTTATTCTGCCTCAGGTACTTAATATCTGTGTTACTCTGGGCAAGTGATTTAATCCTTCTGTACATCAGTATCCTCATCTTCAAAATGAAGAAGTTGAACTTGATGACCTATAAGGTCCCTTCCATCTTTAAATATATAAAATCATACCTCATTTAAAAGGAACAGAATAGATACAAAGGGCAGTAGCAAAGCAGTGTTAATTAAGAATACCTTCCCAGTAAGGACATCCACAAACTGGAGAGGAAAAGAATGCTGGAGGGAGAATAATTTTATGTGAAGAAACAAAGAGAAGTGAAATTCTGTGGAAGTATAGACAGGGAGATTCAGGAAACATATCACAGACCTACCATGACATAGAAGTAGTGAGAAACTTTGGTTATCTAATTGTTTACTGGACTTCTATGTCTGCTAAAAGCAAAAAAAAAAAAAGCTTTGAGATTCTTCATTTGTCTTAACAGTAATTTCATTCATCAAAAGATGGAGGAAATGACCAGGGGGACTGTTATTCCAGACCTGATTCTTACCAGGAATGAAGAATTAGCTTCTGAAGTAGAAATGATGGGAAACTTGGAAGAAAGTTATTATTGCCTCTTAAAACCTGGGATGGAAGAAAGGAAAGCCAAGTACAGGCTGATATGAACCTGAGATTTGAGAAGAGCAGATTTTAAATCATTCATGAAAAGAACAGGTATCATCCTGTTCTGTGTTCTAAAATCTTACAGGTGAAAGACACACAAGATTAATGTAAAGTTTTCAAAAATAAAATTTTAATAACACAAATAATCTCTATGGTAACAAGAAGCAGCCATTTCAAAAAACCACTATAGATTCAGAGGAACTCATTGACCAACTTTGCATTTTTAAAAGGACAGAAAGAGAAAAAGAAAGAACCGGTAAAAAAAGAATTAATACATAAGAAATGCACAGCCTTTTAAGAAATTGTCAGGAACCCTACATCTCAGAATATATTGAGAGTCTGGTTGTGAACTCCAAGAATAAATAAAAGGACTTTTTAAAAATTATGTTGAGGGAGCAGGAGGTAGAGCAAAAAATTAGCTTTTGCTAGAAGAGAATTGCTGTTATTGCTGTTGTTGTTATTTTATGTTGTTATGTTATTATGAGGTTGTTTCACAAAGGACCAGACATCACAGGATGATAGCTTAGCTTGCGGGTGAATTGGATCTTAGTGAGGCAGAGTTGTGCAAAGTCATAAGACTCACTCTTTCTTCCAGAGACATTGAAGTCCAATGGCAAGACAAAAGTCAAGCTGACTGGTGATGACCTGGGATGCAGTGGATGACCTTGGCATCTTCAAAGTCCAAGCAAACTCTAAGTACTCCATAGCACCTACTTCAGCCACCTTTGGCATTGAAACAAACTGTTCTCATTGGCCCATTCTGCCAGGGGAAGTCTTCACATACCTGGGGTAAAAATCCCCCTAACTCACCAATGGGAATAAAGTCCATCAGTTATTCACAACCTGGTTTAGCTCATCTCCTGAGGTGGTTTTACCAGGGTGCAGCCACTGTGCTTGCTATAGTTTCTTGGAGCTGCAGGTTAGAGTTTGGTGATAGGTAGACACCAAAAGTGAACAAGCAGTCCCACAAAGGGCTTGGCAAGTCTTCACACCAGAGGTGCTAGTACTCTCTGACCATCCAATACAGCCATAGGGGAAAATAAGATAATATTAATGGATGATGAAGAGAAGTTGAATTACTCAACTCATTTTGGTTTGATTCTTTCTACCAAGGGCAGCTAGGTAACACAGTGGATAGAGCCCCTGGCCTGGAGTCAGGAAGTCCTGAGTTCAAATCAGGCCTCAGACACTTACTTAGCTGTGTGACCCTGGGCAAGTCACTTAACCCTGTTTGCCTCAGTTCCTCATCTGTAAAATGAGCTGGAGAAAGAAATGGCAAACCACTCCAGTATTTTTGCCAAGAAAATTTCGGATGGGGTCATGAAGTGTTGGATATGACCGAAACAACTCAACAACAACAATAATCAAGGAAAATGGTATTTGGATTAAAAAATATAGGCAAAAGTGGCCAACTGGGAACTGCAATATATATGAGGAAATCATAAGAGAGAACACAGCTGTTCTCATTGAGTTTAAGTCACCATATCCAGATGAACTAGTTCCCAGAATCTCCTGTGTCGTCCTTTCAGATCATATGGAGAGACCTGAGCTAGACAACAGTATATTTTGGTAGATTTAGAAGCAGTTGAATGACTGGTCTGAGAATGACAAAGAGAGGTCATTAACCAATTTATGTTGTAAACTTAGACGTAGATTCAATGGAATCTAATGCAGTGCCTCAGGGAATCCATGAACCTATGATAATCAATACTTTTGGAAATTATTTGAATAAAAGCATAGAAAATGCACTCATCAGGTTTTCCAGTGACACAAAGCTGACACAAATACATTGAATTATGGAATCAGGATCCAAAAAGATCTCAGCAGTATAGAACAATGTGTGGGATTAAGAAGCTAAAATTTGATCAAAACACATATAAATTCAGTTGCCCAAGCATAACATAGGAAAGATGCAATGAAAAAGGTCAGGGAGTTTTAGTGGACCACAACATTGATAGAAACTAATTGTGTGATTAGGGAAGCTAAAAAAGATAAGCTAATCTTAAGCTTCATTGAGAGACATATTTATTGTATAAAACAAGGGAAACGATCATTCTTCTGCCCTCTGCCCTTGCCAGACTACATCTAGAGTATTGTATTGCCTCAAATGTTGTATTGTCTAAATAATCATATTAAGTTCTGAGTGCCACATTTTAGGAAGGTCATGGACAAGCCAGAATGCATTCCAAGAAAAGCAACCGGGAAATCATAGTGCATCCCATATAAGAAATGGTTCAAAGAACCAGAGGAGAGAAATTTTAGAAGAGACATGATTTCTTTAAATGTTTGAAAGACTATTATATGGAAGTGGGATTTAACTTATCTTGCTTGGTCCAAAAAGATAAAACGATGGAATTAGTAGACAGGCAGATTTTAGTCAAAAGCAATGAAAAACTTCCTGACAAATATAACCAGACAAAAAAGGAATGACTGCTGTGAATGGTCATAGATATCCCTGTCAATGGAAGTCTTCAAGCAGCACTCTGAAGGGTCAACTTGTCCCATATTCTATACAATAGATTCTTGTTCATATATGGGTTGCAATAGATGACCTCTGAGGACCCTTCCAATTTTGAGATTCTTTGAATCTGTTAGCTGGAGTTTGTAACAATCTTTCATCATGCCAAGAAAAAAAAAATAGAATATGAGAAGAACTGTTCTAGATGTGCCAGAATTACGAAACTTCCTCATTTTCAACAGGTTTTTTGGGGGTGGGAAGTAGGATGTGGGGGAGTCATAGTTGCACTTGACCACACTAACAAAAATTTTTCTTTATAATTTTTCTTATAAAAACAGTGTATTTTTGTGAAATGGCTAACTGACATTTGAAGTGCAGTCTGTGGGCCACCGTGGAATGATTTTCTGCTAACTGCTTCAAATGGTCACTGAACCCATCACCTGGGGTTAAAAAAAAATCAGGCTGTAATCACACAGCTCTGCTTACCCACATATCTCACTCTTCTAGGAAGTACTTAAAACCCGACTTTTTTTTTCATTTTCTGCATATGCATTCACACTTGGTGTAAGACTGGCAGATGTATTACACATCTTGATTACTTAAGATATTAACTATTGAGTGGGAAACACATAAACAGGTTTTTTTTCTTGCCCCATGGGAAGATTTTAGATAGTGTACAAGGAGAAAATGTGTTCCTGTTTGTTAAGGTAGTTGTAAATTTAAATATTCCATTCTGGAATAAAAACCGAAGGTATTGTGATGCCAAACATGTTGGCCATCTACACTAAGGCCAATTCCACATATATATGGAATATTGCTGACCTACTGTAAATCTCTCAGCTTAGGCTTAATTCATTCTTACTGGCACTCCAAATGGCTATCTTCCTGGAGAAGTAAAATAGTCTCCTAGGTGACTTCAGAGCTACAAACCCCATTTAACCACTCGGGGAAAACTGATCTGGCTTGGCCTTTGTAAGCCTTAACAGTAAGGAACCCTTAGGGAAGAAACCTTCCTTAGAGTGTATTATAAGACTACAGACAGTTTCATGTGCCCCTGGATGAGTGGTCGCTGTGAGAATTTGATTTTTAATTCCTTCTCTGGCAAGTTTCCTTTCAGATTGACCCCATCCTGGGGGTAAAGTCCTAAACCATCTGTCTGGTACTTCTGTGTAGAGCGACTTTGAATTTAAAAGTCCTTTAAATATTGTCATTTTAAAAAGCGGTGATATTAGAGACCATATATCAAACGATTGTGCCTTTATTCTTCCAATTCTTAATTTTAGATAGCTGAGGAGTTGTGTGGACATAAGTACTTACTTCAAGGGATCACTTGTATGGCAACTGTCATCTACAGATTACAGAAACTTTCAGAGGCTTTAAATATAGTAATATCTCTGTGCTGTCAGTATTCACCCTCCCACCCCGCTGCATTAAGGCATTTTACAAAGAAGGACATTTATCAATAGAGAGGATTAGATTACTTCCACTGTTGAGCAAGGAATAGTTGTCAGAGCCAGTAGAGAGACCTCAAGAATTTGGGCTTCCAGACTCTTTTTCTAAGCTCTAGAAAGCAGGTCTTCCTGGCACTGCCTCTTGACGCTACCAAACAGAAGCAATAACAAAGAAAAAGAAAAAAAAATAATTTAAAAATATTCATTTAATAGGGAGGGAGGGGGCAAGAGGACAGAATGTGTGGATGTATATTTTGTGTGTGTGAAGGTCACCTTTTATTTACATCTTAAAGAATCATAAATGGGGAAATTGCCCCAAGGGAAATGCATTATATGTGCCGGTACTTTGTATTCCGTAACATTATGAACCTGACCTGATAGCAGAAAACATGGTTCTATTTTACTGAGAATTGTAATTGTTTAGTGAAGCGGAAAAGGGGGGTAGGGCAGGGGAATACTCAATCATTTCTGATAATAGTATAAAGGCGACAGACAGTTCAATAATAGAAGGGGAGAAACATACGGACTCCCACAAGTTCGAAGTATCTTGTAACCTTAAAAAAAAAATCCCTGCACATACTACCGCTGACGGAGGATTACTGTGAGCTGATTGCTCTGGACTTCAAACACTGAGAGTCATTCTATCATGAGGAGGGGGTGGGTGGGGGGGTGAGAGGGGTTCTTTAACAAAGTCCTCCTCTCTCTGCACCCTCCCACTCCATTCACTTGCAAATCAGTGTGTGCCCAGAAGAGCCTGCTTTCCCTAAGCCCCATCACCTTCCCATACTGAGTGCTGCAGTTTGAGCAGGAAGCAGTGGGAACTGTGTAGGCTAACAGAACAGCAGCAGCCCCCGGAGCAGAGGCGGCTGAGGTGGTAGCAGCGGCATCCGCAACCGCAGCGGCAGCCGCAACCGCAGCGGCAGCAGGAGCGAAGGCAGTGGGGAAAGCAGCAGCTGGAGCAGCGGCTGCAGAAACAGGTAGCAGAATCTTTCCGTGTTTGTTTGTAACTAGGGGTAAGGGTTAAGGTGATCTCTAGTGTTGTTGGGGTGTTTGTAGCTGTGGTTTCTGTCCGCGCCTCTCCTTATCATTGAATGGAAACCAATCCGCTAGAGGGTCCCGTCAGCTTCCGCTGCATGCACGCCAGAGTTAAAAGAGATGCTCCAAGTGTCAGACCTTAGTTTGGTGCCGGTAGCTTCCCTGCAGGTGGAGACACCAGGCAGCCCGCGGGCGCGGGGGGCTTACTCACAGGCGGAGCGGCACTGGGGCCGAGGATTGACCGGTGTGCTGCTCCAGGAGGCTGAGGGCTGGGTGTGTGCGGGTAAGGACTTCCTCCAGGCTATGGACTGGTGTAGGGCAAATGAAGTGCTCGCTGCGGTCTGCAAGAGCTTACTCGCCTCTGCTCTTTCTTGGATAGCTGCAGTTGACACTGGGTCTTTTTGCAAAGTTGGCAGCTCTGTTGTGCGGGCAGCCGGCGCCCTTGGGAGCAGAGGCACCGAGGCACCGAACGTGGGCACCTCTCTATACCGCCCAGGGCGGGGAGGAGGGGGGGAAGGCTTGGGCAGGTACAAATTGGCTCCTGGTCATTTTGTGCACATGAAGGCTTGCGGAGCAGGAAAACTTTAGCTCCAAAAAGTCAATAGTTAGCTAGGGACAAGGAGAAAAGGAAGCCGGTTGCATCCACCTTTTGAGTGGACCTAGTGCACGAGGGCTGAGTTTGAAAGGAACATCCCCCTATTATAAAGTATAGTTCTCTGCATATGGAACCCACAGTGGAGAGAAAAGTCAGTGGTTCGGTGGGTGTGTAGCCCTGGGGCTGTTACTGAAGATGACAGACCAGACACCAAGTCTTCTCTGTGTTAATGTGTTCTCGGGACAGGGACTGAAGCAAGTGTGTGTAGCTTTTATAGGTATCTGACAGGAGAAAATTGGAATACTTGCGCCTGGTTACATATATATTAATTTCCAGGAATAAATGATAGTAAGCTGGTAAGTGGTTTGGTTTGTTTTGTTTTGTTTTTGGAGGGGGGTTGTTAGTTTTTTAGTTTTACATAGCTGCAATTACAGAAATGGATCTAATTTTGGATTTAGATATTCTTGTGTAAGGAGTTTTGTGACTGGTGATTAGAGAGATGCTATAGAGGTCAGTGTGGGGGGAGAAGTGTTGTCACTGCTGCAATAAAATCCATATTTTATGGGGAGTTAAATGCAGTTCTTTGTAAGTGCAAATGTATGTTCAACTAAGAAACTCTAGATGACATTCAAGGATCGAGAAGTTTAATGACCTGAATTATACCCAGAATACTCATACATCTGTAGATAATATTTAAAGAATGAACCTTTGTCCGAGAATTTGATTATGATATTCATGCTACAGAGTTTTATTACAACTTTCAAAGTAAATTCTCTGACCAGACTACTTAAGTAGGTATTTATGGCTTCAGTTTTCATTTGGGAGGAAAGTAGAGGAAAGGAGGAGAGGGTGAAAAAGAAAAATATATATATATACACGTCTTTCAATAAAAAAAAATAGGGCAGAAACAGTCTTATACACATGTGGCTATGTCATGTACAGACATACATATTATATATATAATCTTTCCAGTACTAAAAAGGTTGCAAGATTCACTCCATGGTTTAGGAAAAGGAAACAAGAAAACTGTAATTTTAACATAGCATTTCCCTTGCATTAATAACATCAAAAATCTTCAAACCACAAAGTAGCATCTGGTCTTTTTTTTTCCTTTCCCTTTTGCGGCTGGCTTTTCCTAAAAATGTTGGCATGGGAACCTCTACATACATGCATGTGTGTGTGTGTGTGTGTGTGTGTGTGTAGTGTAGTGTAGTGTATTCTTCTTGAATGCCTTGATCCAAGGTGTGAGTGTTTTTATCCCAGTGCTTGCTGGCTTTGCTGTTTTAAAGAAAACTAAGTCAACAAGTTGTGGGAGGGAGGATGTAGGGAATATAATCAATCAGACATCTTCATTGTGTCATAAAGAGGGTGAAGTTTATGCTACAGGCCAGATTTTCAATGGAGAGCTCCTTTTGCTCAGGAGTCTTGAAAAGAATCCATAGCAGTATACTGGAAAAAATCATTTAGTTTTCTATTCCTTTCTTTACACTTGTAGATTTTGGCTAGTTGGGGGAGTATAGGAGGTGGGGGAGAGAAACAAAAGGTACATAGTACATGTTTCTACCTATTTTTTTTTGAGGTAAAAGAAGAAACTTTTTCAGAAAACCTTAAGAGACAGCAACATATGTTTCGAGGAAAATGGCAATGATTCAGTTCTACTGTAATTCTTTGCAATTATCTTTTGTAGCCATTATAAGGAATTGGCATGTGAGAATCCCAGTAGGGACTTTGAAATCCCTTTGGATATTTAGTTTTTGCATTAATTCATTGAAATTACATTTCTTAATACTAACACTGAAAAGATAAAACAGAAAAACTAAAATCATCATTTTCCAAGTTGCTTACTATCAAAAATGTATACCTTCCTTCTTCCACCCACCACTTCCATCAGCTTTGAAAGTAAAAACTTACTCTTAGAGGCAATATTCCTTTTAAGGAGAAAATGTCTTTTGAAAATGTTGTTTCACATATATTTAAAATAGCTAGAATTGAAAGTGTAGTTACAGACCCAAACAGTGCCAGATAGTATGCCCTCTTGGCTGGAAATGTTTCAACTAGTATGTTGCACTTGACAAAAAGTTCTGATTTGCAAATAGAGCGATAGGATCGTTAACTTGGATGGAAAATGACCAACTGTTTTCATGAAGGGTACCTTTTTTTCCTTAGGACAAGAAATGTATGGATACCCCTCTTGGGCCCTAGTTACTCTGCAGTTATTTGTTTCCTCTTTATCCAGATAGATCTAGTGGTTTTCTTTTAATTATGGAAACTTTTTTGGTTGGAAGGGACCTCTAGTGGGTCATCCTGTGCATTTCTCTCAGCATTACAGCTACAGGATGGGTTTTGCTGTCTAAAGTTTTGAAAACATAGCAGCAGCTTCCTTATTTAAAAAAAAAAATAAAAGGAAGGAAAAAATGCCTGTTTGGCATAGCTTGACTTGTATGTATAGAGAGTAGCCTATTATCTTTATTACTTATGTAGATGTCTCCAATTGGAGGACCTCAAAGTATTTACTTTGTTCTTCCACGTCTCTAGTTAAAGATTTAAACACAATGAGAATTTCAAATGTATTTAGATGAAATCAGTAGCTACCTGTTCGCATTCATTGAAAACTATAAAATGAGATTTCCTTTCTTTTCCAGGCCTTGCCAAGAATGTACTTCCTTAAGCAACTGTTGTATCCTCATTAATAATTAAGACTGATTTACACTTTTAAAAAATCCATTTCCCATGATACAATGACATTACTATTATGACTCAAGAAGGATAAAATAAAGACCATGGCCCTGAGAAAAGTTGTGGGAACATAATTACCCTTTCAGAAATGTATAGAACTTCTCCTCTTCTGCTGATTTAGTGGCTTCTGATTTAAAGAAATATCCATTCATAAAAGTATTTGTTAGAAAGAGGCCAATAGACTTTTAGATGTGCATGTCACCAATGGGGATTGTCTGTTTTAGGCCATAGTTTTGCTTTACTGTGATGCTTTTTGGGTACCCTACTCCTTTAAAAAGCATTCCCTGGCACTTGGAGTTAGATAAGTTCTGTGTGGTGAATCAGTCTCTTCTGCTGACACTATGCAAGGCTCGACTTCCAATTTAAAAATCTGTTCTAAAGTTTGAAATGTGTTCCAAATGAGATAACATCCGGCAGAAGCTAGTTTCCTCGTGTTCCTTGCTTAGTCATGGCAGCCCATTCTTTGGGGTCTGTAAGAATTAGGGTCTGGCTTATAAAAACGGAAAGAAATGACTCAGTCTGAATTGCATTTCTTAATAGTGTTTCAGCTTAGCCAATGTCTACTGAGCCTACCTTATTTGCTTCACAAAAAAGTGAAAAAGCAGATAATCAAACCTTTTTCTCCCTTAAAAAACTGTGAATAATGCATAATAAATATAAAGAATTGGAACATTGTGCACAAGGAAGTTACTGAAAGAAGAGTATTTAAAAAACAAGGAATTATCTGTCAATTCTACTTTTGTGACACAATTCTAATGATTTTGGAGAAAAGATATATAGAAATATTGGGAGGGATGCTTTTTTATTTAAAGTTGGGGGGTTTTTTTGTTTGTTTGTTTGTCTGGTTTCTTTGTTTTTAGAGAAGAGAGGATTTGAGAGGTTTTCCTAAAATTGGTTGTACAATATTTGTTGAGCTTTCATTCTTCTGAAAATCAAATAGGCTACAGTATTTTTAAATGTCCATATCACCATGTTTCTGTCTTTTTATCCATCCCAGTTCTCTCTTACAGTAAGTTATATGAGGACCTCCAAGACCTTTTGTGTCATGCACCATCATTATTTCTTGAGGTGGACAGTTTTTATGACCCTTTAAGCAACCAGGTTGGAAGGTGGAAAGTAATGAGTGATCTTCCAATAGGGTAAAATGTACCCTTAGCTACTACCAAAAGATACATTAAGGATGAGTTCCTGAAGCCGAAGAATAACAGAGAAATAATTCAATAAACTAAAAACTTCAGGCAAAAAAACCTAAGTTGACTTGAACTACCTAGGAACTTATCTGAAGTACTCACAAAGACAATTTAAAGTGGGAATGCCCTTTCTGACACATGCAATTATTTAGGTCATAACATGTGTACAAAGGATACTGGATACTTTTATCCTGCTATATTTTGATATCATTCCAATTTGTTTAACCTCTTTACTCTCTTTTCACTGATTTTGTGGGTACTTGTTTTCTGAATTTATCATTCCATCTTACTGAAATTTATAGGCAGAGGAGTTTAATTATAGCTAGAATATTACTATCAAATTTGATTTGCAGTATTGATAAAGCAGTATGTGCCTAAAGATAAGTAGAACTCTTGTAAAACCCATGAATGAAATAACATAGGGCCTGCCTCAGTGGAGGACAGAGTCAATTGGTCCACATGTCAAAAGAAATTGAAACCACAAAAGAAATTTAACTTAGTTGAGTTGTCCATGAATTGGTAAGGAGTAAGTAAAATGGAAAGAGGGAGAAAAAAATATACAAGGGCAAATTGAAAATAGAAACAGATTCAGATTTCACTTTTTCTATATGTGGAATTACCACTTTCTGTCATAAGAAATGCAGGTTCATATGCATGATTACCATGGAGCCTCTTCTGCTTTTTCATATGGATTTCAAGATGGCAGTCATTGGCTGAAGGGGACCCCACTGTGTGTCTCACAGAACTAGAAGTGGAATGAAA